TCCTGATTTCTTGTTTTTAAGTTAAAGCTTAAGTTTATTTTAAAATAAGCAAGCCAGATACTATCATCTAGTAAAAATATGATTATTGAATGTCCTGGTTTCGGCTGGGATAGAGTTAATTTTCTTCCTAGTAGCTGGTATAGTGCTGTGGTTTGGATTTAGGATGAGAATAAGGTTGATAACACACTGATGTTTTAGTTGTGGCTAAGTAGTGTTTATAGTAAGTCAAGGACTTTTCAGCTTTCCATGCTCTGCCAGGTGCACAAGAAGCTGGGAAGGAGCACAGCCAGGACAGCTGACCCAGACTGGCCAAAGGGCTATGCCGTACCGTATGGCATCATGCTCAGTATATAAACTGGGGGTGTTGGCTGGGGGGCAGTGACCGCTGCTCGGGGACGGGCTGGGCGGCAGTCAGCGGGTGGTGAGAAATTGCGTTGTGCATCACTTGTTTTGTATATTCTTTTATCATTATTATTATTTTCTCTTCCTCTGCTGTCCTATTAAACTGTCTTTATCTAAACCCACGGGTTTTACTTTTTTTTTCTGATTCTCTCGCCCATCCCACCGGGGAGGGAGGAAGGGCAGGCGAGCCACTGTGTGGTGCTTAGTTGCTGACTGGGGTTAAACCACAACACTGAGAAAGCACATACATAAAGTGACGACCTCCTCAAAGATTAACAAATAGTAAGTCAAATAAGAAAAAAAAAAAAAAAAGAAAATTCTGATGATAGGGAAAATTTTAAGAACATTTTGCAAGATGACAGAACCTGTATTTACAAAAAAATTTGTCCCCGTGTCCCTGCCCCCCCCAGTTACAGTTGTTCTGAAAGTGAGATGAAAGCAAAAGTAAATTGAGTATAAGCAATTCAGTGGCAACAGTAAGAGTTTGTTAGTAATTACTGTAAATTTTATAAGTAAAATTAAAATAAGTAAGTAATAAATCTGTGGCCAGTTGTTTGGATGCAAACAATGCACAACCAAAGTGAATGGAAGCTTATCATTGATTTAAATAGTAAAGGATGTGGTCTATACAGATGGTTTTAAAAAACTCATTTGGAACAAGAGTGGTCTGAAAAACGGCATGAGTTCCTGGCTAAGTTTGGAGAACAATTAAGAAAAGTCAGAGTATCCTGTTATTTCTGTGCGGTGTTTTGGGTGAAGAGGAATGGTGATAAATTAATTTCAGTTCCAAGAGAAACTAGTGAGAATGTTTTAAGTGTTATTGAATGTGTAGAACAGTGCTACTGGAGTTGGTTTTTTAAACTCTAAAACATGGGTATACAACAGAATTTTTCACACTTAAGCATTGGGAAAACTCAAAAGGACTGGATTTAATGGTGTTTTTTTTTTTTTGGGGAGGGAGGGAAGAAAAAGATGTATAGTTGCTGATGAAGTTGTAGTTGCCCAAGAATAATGTAGCAAGTGATTTGAATAGGAAGTTTACAGCACAATCTTTATGTCCTAGGTGGAGTTCATTGAAAAATATATATTTTAATGTAGTCTTAAATATCATAAGTCCTTATAAATGCTTGCTTCTCTTATCAGCTCTATGTACAGTTTGCATGTGTGTCTCTAGGATGTTTCATTATCTCTGCAGACAAAGTAGGCAGTTGTCATCCAGTAAGAAACAGTAGATGAAAGCACTCAACTCTCAACGTGGCAGTAGGTACTTTATTCCGTTGGGATTCTGAGCTCGGTGCTCTGCCTCAGAGTAGTTGTCTAAAAGAGAAGGAAGTGGCAGCGGAGGATGGGGGAGGCATTTTCTCACTGTGTTATGTATTCAAGAGCCCTCTCAGTTGCAGAAAACATTAAAAGTAAAGTCTGCTTGTGTGCTAGTAGCTCGTTATTCTATCAGTGAGACAGAGGAGAGCTATCACACTTACTTTTGCTGTAGGTGTCCTTGCTTCCATGCTTACTCTTTGTAGGAAAAGCGACTAGTCTTTTGATGCTTGGGAAAAAGATGATGGTTGTTTGCTTCCTTTCCTGTTTTCCTCCTCTACTATCTGGTCCTTATATGGCAAAACTGAATCTTCTTGACCTCCCTTAAGTTGGCAAGTTTTGTGAAGGAGTCTACAGACCTTCTTGAGTTCTCCAAAGAGGGAGATTCCACAGCACCTTTAGGCAACCCGTCCTTAATCATATTTGTTATGGAAAACTGTCTTCCTTATTCTTTCTTCATGGAGAGCTGCTGAAGCTCTCTGTCTTTCGGTTCTTCCAGGTGAGCTGGGTGTTGCTCTCTGACAATTTTATATTTCGTCACCAGGGAAACTTTGGACAAAAGAACGTTTAAGCAGTTGTGTATGGGGTGTCTGAGTCCTTGTGGGAGCTGGTGCTGGAGGAGGGCCTCTTTTATGATGTAGGCATTTGAGGCTGGTAACATAAGGGTGCTGCAACCTCTGCTATGGTTAAATTTTTATTGGACAGGTTGTGATTTTTCAGCAAGGTGAGATTATCTGGGATCTAAAGATACCAGATGGAAACCAATGGAGAAGGTCCCTTGTCCTCAGTTCCCTGGACACTTACTGACCCCTTGGTCAAAAAGTGTATTAGTGCTGTAGTACTTCATTTGTTTCATTATGTAGATACTGTTTTTGTTATAATGAAAGATGAAGGCATGCTATTGCCCACAACTATCCTGGATGTGCGCTCTGTATTTTGGAAATCAGAATATATTAAGCTTGTAGGTTTCGGACTATATTGTTTAATTTTTTTTTGATAGTGATGGAGTAGTATGCAGTCAAAGTTACTTCTAAAACTGGTTTCTTGTAGTGAAAATTCTTTATTTATCTAAATTTCAGTTGGCTTAGTAAGCGGTTTTTTTTTTGTTTTTTTCCCCTTAATGTCTCTGGTATATTTTGTATATTTACATAATAATTTTTCATTATAAGTAAGTGTAACTGGAGTACAGGCTTAATTATGTCTGAAGTAAAAGCTTTTGCCATCTGTTTATGAGTAACTAACTGAAGAAGGTTTTTTTCAAAATTTCAGTGTCACTTTTCTACTGGTTTAATGGCTTTATTAGATGAATGGTGTTTCTATTTGAGTTAGTTTTTTGGGAGGAGATTTAAAGATAAATATTCACCATTAACACCATGTTAACATTTATTTATCTGTCATTAGTAAGATGACTCTGGCTTAGGGCAGTTTGCAAGTCTTAGAAAAGTCCTTATAAACACTTATTCCCTGAAGATATTTCAAGTAGAGCAGAGAACAAAAGAAGATTGTGATTTTTATAGTTTTTTTTTTTTCAGTCTGTCTGTTAATGATAATTTTAAAATGGTCTGTTGGAACCGTTTTTAAAAGCAACTTAATTTGGCAGCTTATATTTTCTTTTCCCTACTCTTTTATTAGTCTCACGCTTTTTCTGTTTGGAATAATTCTACGAACTATTTGTGAATAAAATGATGAAGCAGCACAGATACTGTATTTAGATGCAGATGAAGTACCAGAATGATACATATTACGTTGACTGTGAATGTTGACTCTGAGTTGCGTGTGCGCTTTTCATTTTCTATACAAATTATAACTACCAGTTTAGCAAATGGTGAGGGGGAACACCAATTGGTTGGAAGCAACTAGGAAAGATTTGTCCTCTAAGAAAAGAATAAAAAGCATGTATGCTATTGCAGATACTAAATACCATTCCAGAGTCTTAATGATGCTACTGTAAGTACATCATTACGTTTAGCTCAGTTTAAGAGTGAAGAAATTAAGAACCTTTAGATTCAGCAGCGTAGTTAAAAGGAGAAAATCCAAGATGAAAACAAAACTCAAAAAGGTCTGCAGTGAGGCAGTATGGTATGGTTTGTGTGGTTTGTTTTTTTTTCTTTATAGGATGCATTTGCACAATGATAATTTACTTTGTTTACCTAATCTAATAATCTGCTAGATTATCTGATTTTGTAAGTCATTTGATCTCCTTAATATTTGCATGCAAGTAAACCTGGGTAGGAGGAAAGCACAATTATTTTTAAGGTGTACTGAAGGTCTTATAAAAAAACACTTGAGTTTTCCTCTTGGGGAAGAACAGAATTCCTGCTAAATGATTAGCCACACCAAATTCACTTTCAGATGAGGTAGCTCTGTACTATGTGATATTACTCTTGTAATTCTATTATTAGTGTCAGTATATTAATATGTTGGGTAAGCTATATAGCAGCTTCTGCTAAATTTAGTTATGGCAAATGTCCTCCACTGAAACAAACTGACAACTCTCAAGATCTTAGTATTGAAAAAAGGCCTAAAATAGTAGGTTTCTTTCTGAATTGTTGTTTCCCCTTGCCCTCGTCCAACCATATGTCAGGCAATTAGGATTGTTTACTTCTTGAAATGTTAAAACGCAATATGGTAAGTAGCTAAGCATTTATTGATGACCCCAAGTTAATGAGTTAGAACAGGACTGGATATAGGAGTTGATATTCCTATGAAAAAATTAATTGGCCACACCTTTAAGGAAGGAAAAGAGCTCTGACGGAGGGGGTGTGCGGGTGTGTGTGTTGGGATTTCTTTCTGTAGAAAAAATACAGGAGTCTAGTCAAATTAGAATGACTTTGTTTAAATAAAAAAGTGTACGCAGAAGTCTTATATGATGGTAATGCTTGCATGAATGCTAGTTTATTCAGGTGATATCTCCGTTTTGCAGGAATTTGCATAGCTTTTACGTGATGACTGTGTTAATCCAAGAAATTTAGAGAAATAACCTGTTTTTCCATTTGTGTGTGTTACTGTTTGTATAAATCATTAGTATTTGGATTTCATGGAGGATTATCTGTGTAAATTCTTCACTGAATAAACTTAAAAATGTATTGCAGCTCATCTAAACTTTGGATAATATAAAATGAAATGTAAACATGACTTAAGTTACTTATGTCTGTAATATATTAAACAGTTAAAATAGTCCATGGAAAAAAGTGTTGTAAAAGGTTCTTTGTACTATAATTGAAATGTCCTTTGAGCTTCTAGAAAACATTAAAATTAAATACAATTATAACTTTTTGTAGGTTGGGCTCATGTGGTTTGTGCTCTGTACATTCCCGAGGTGCAGTTTGCAAATGTTTCTACAATGGAACCTATCGTGTTGCAGTCTGTTCCTCATGATCGTTATAATAAGGTATAATTATATGTCTTTTTATCTATATTTAATGTATTTATTTTAAAACTTGTGAGCTTTAATAATCTAAAACTACACTTCTTAGAATGCACTTTATATAAAATTCATAAATGTATGCAGTAATGATGTGTGTTTTCTGCTATGGCTTTAATTCAAGAATTAAGAAAGCTATATTATTAAATTAAGCTGTAAGGTTATCTGCCATGTCTCATTATTCTTTTACAGATTAGGGACTGTTTTGTTAATTAAAAATATCATGATCTTTGAATAACAGTTTATTTTGAAAGGAATGTGAAGTATTTCCCATAAGTTAAAATATTATTACAGCTTATTTGAAATGTTATTATTAATTACCACTAAGTCCTACTGTTTTAAGTATTGATATGATGTTCATAAACATTTCTTTTAGGAAGAAAAGCTATGCTAATATATTGAGGCAAAAGCCTGCAGACTTTTGCCTTTGTAAACAGTGTTCAGTTTAGTGGGATTATTTACTTGTAGAAGAACTGCTCCTAAATAAGTGTCGGTGAGACGGAATGTTTTGTGAAGTGTGGTGAGACTTTATTTAAAAAAAAAAAAAGGCAAAGCAATGTAAAAGTAACTTATTAATGTTCTATATTGGTAGTTACATTTTTCTACTTGTTTAACTTGTACTACCTCTTTGCCACTAGTCTTAACTACTTCCTCCTGTGTATTTTTGTTTTCCCTTCTGTAAGCAGCAAGCTGTCTGAATTTCTGATTCATTTTATTACGTATTTTTCTGGTGGTGTTCTTTTTACCTCTGCTTGCTTTCTTTCACTTCATTTTATGGTGGTTTGTGGACACTGCGGTAAAAGAGGAATAGACTGTATTATAAAAAAAAGAAAGGAAACAAAAAAAAGACACGTATCACCTCTGGTGTTCTTTCTACATGGAAAGCGGTCTTTCTCTTCT